ATAATAATAAAATACCATGCAATAACTGTGAGGCAATCTATATAGGTCAAACTAATAGATCGGGTGTCATCACATTGTCGGAATGATGGACCCCACCCGAGAAGATAAATAATTTAGAAAAAAGCTCACCACTACACTGCACTGCATGCATTAACACACAACCACACAATAGGGTGAAAGAGGGTTAAGATTCTAAGAAGTAATATAGATAGGTAGGTGGAGAGCGAGAGAGATTTATTACTGAATCCTGCCTGATTCATCGATTCTACTTCACCTAACACATGCAACAGAAATGACTCAATGCAAATACCCGAGATATGCATGGAAGATATTATTACCACCAGTCAGTCAGTCACATCAGAGGAGGATAATAAATAATCTCAAAGTTCTATTTCAATTCAAGCACATCATATCATTCAAGTTACTCACTTATTATGACTATAAAAACACTCGTCTTATTTCCCATCTCTGATTGTAATTGATCAATAACACTCATATTATTATTTCTGAATGTACATTATCCCATATTGATTTTTATTCCAATGTCTAATCATCAATTTCACTCATGTATATAAATGAAGGAAAAAGTTGTGTGAGTAGCTTGATATGTTTATGAGCAGCAATAATTTGTGCTCGAAACACGTGGTCATCAGTTAATATTACTTTATAATGGAATTATGTTTTACCACAGTGCCCACGTTTTATACCTATATCAACTTTCTAATTTCGTTTATATAATTCCATTCTTTTCCATCACTTGATTTGATTGGTAGTATTATTTTCCATATTTCCGGTATGAATGATGAATCATTCTGTTGCATGTGTTGGGTGTAGATGCACTCGATGACCAAGGATTCAGTAATCGATCTCTCTCGCTCTCCACCTACCTACCCACCTAGATTACTTCTTAGAATTTTGACTCTATCTCACCCACCATATTGTGTGGTTGTGTGGTAATGCATGCAGTGAAATGTAGTGCTGAACTTTTTTCTAAATTACATATCTTCTCGGGTGGGGTCAATCATGCTTACCTTAAAACTTATTATTATTATACACATAAAATGTATCAGTTTGGCAAGGTCAATAAACAGTGGGGACAGCGGACATCATATATAATATACATCCCATATATTGAACGTTGAACAATCTGACCAAAGATACACGATTACCATCTCTTAACCATAGCTGAAGTTTCATAAGACTCAATAAGAGTGAGTAAACGTAACCTATGCATCCAGCAAATAAAAGAGTCTGTCTGTCTGTCTGTTTTCGACATAGAACTTTGCACAAATGTGCACCAGTTCAAGTCGCCACACTCCGTGTAGCACGCGTAGCAAGAGAAGAAAGTACAAGAAAAGCATAATAGAAACAGTGAGCAGAGGGGTGAGACAAAGGAGTAATAAAGGAAAAACAAAACAGTTTCATTGAAGATCATAAGTCACAGGGAGTGGATGCATCTGCGCCACTGAGAACGGTTTTGAGCCATGTCACCAATTGTTTCCAACCATAGATTTTTACCGTCCCGAGGACCCCAGCCTGGAAGTCTACACCTTCCTACGTGGCTTAGACCAACTGTTGTGGATTTCATTGACTGGTGAAGCCAAGTTTTTGTTTGACCGCCACTAGCTTTTTTCCAGCCTGACCCTATATCCGCTAACATTGCTCGTCGAGGGAGGCGATGGCTTGGCATACGTAACACATGTCCTAACCATCTCAGTCTTAGTAGCTTCACGACTTCGTCGATTGATTTCCCCTGTTTACCTAGAACTCGACGCCTAACCTCAATGTTGCTCACCTTATTATTCCACTTTACACGGGAAATAGAGCGCAGGCACCTATGATCAAAGACAGCTAGTCTTTTCATGTCTTCCACTCTCAGTGGCCAGGTCTCACAACCATAAAGGAGGATGGAGCGGACTGATGAGCAGTACACCCGCCCTTTGGTCGATAGTCGAACATCTCGTCTACGCCAGAGTCGGCGTAAACTAACAAATGCGAAACGAGCCCCTTAAATAAATAAATAAAAAAGTACACTCATCTATCTGTATGCACTTTCACTTATCACAAGGTCACTACAAAAGTCACATGACCTAATAACTTCATATCTCACTATTATTTCCAACTCTGTTAGTATAGTGCGGAAATTGATTGGGTTTACAACTTGATTACAGATTGATATCAGTTAGAGAACCACTGAAAATCAAGGAGTACTGGACAATGGTTTCATCGCAGTCCCCTAAAGTACTTCAGAAGTATCACACTCATGCATGAGATCGAACCTATTCATCAGTCCGCTACATCCTCCTTAATGACTGTGAGTGAGAACTGGCCATTGAGAGTGGAAGACATGAAAAGATTAGCCAGCTGTCTTTGATCATAGGTGCCTCCGCTCTATCCCCGTGTCAAGTGGTATAATAAGGTGAGCAATATTGAGGTTAGGTGTCGGTCGAGTGGCTAGGTGAGTTGGAGGGTAAAAATCAATAGACGAGGCTGTGAAGTTATATCGACTGAGATCATTAGGACATGTGTTACGCATGTATAGCTAGCCACCAATCGCCTTCCTTGACAATGGTTAATGTTAGCTGATTGACATAGGACAGATCAGTTTGTAAAAGAGCCAGCTAGTGGTTGTCAAATGAAAAAATAGGCATCAGGCAATGAAAGCCACAACAGTTAGATTAAGCCACGTAGGAAGGTGTAGACTTCCTGACTAGTTGGGGTCTTCGGGACGGTAAAAGCCATGACAGCTGGAAACAATTGGTGATATGGCTCAAACTCCTCATCGTTCTTAATGGCTGGCTGGTGCAGATGCATCCACTTCTTGTGACTTATGATTTCCAATGAAACTGTTTTGTTCTTCGTTATTACTATTCCTTTGTCTCACATCTCTGTTTACTGTCCCTATTATGCATTTCTTCTACTTTCTTCTGTCGCTTTGTGTGACACAAGTAGGGAGTGTGGCGGCTTGAACTCATGAACATCGGTGCAAAGTTCTATGTTGAAAACAGACAGACAGATCGAACACATGGCCTTGAAGTTACAAGCTGAGTTCGTTGATCATCCATCTATCTAGTGGCCTATGTATTCTAACTTCCAACAACTCGTGAATTCTTTAATAGTTCCTTTAACATCCACTCCTTTTATCTAGGTTACATCACATACTACAATCATTATTATTACTGTGTATCAGCCTTTAAACATAAGTTAGGCTTATCTTCTCTTCCAAATGACCACAACTCAACCCATGAAACCTGAACTATTAAACTTCACATGCACACACTATGTTTTACAACCACTGTTGTGTGAAGATGTGTGTGGGTGATTATCTGGTACGATTCTCTCGCCAACCACGCCCTCACATGAAAGGCTCAGGCTCAGGTTCGATTTTCAACCACGGATGCATTCTTAAACCACGCTTAACCGACAGTAAACCCACTAAGAAGAGGAAGGGTTAGGTGTGAAGTCAGCAAACCCAGAACCACTACTGAAACTTCGGAACTTAAGTCTGAGGCTGGATTCAAAACCCAATGGATGCATACTGTCGATGAGTCCCAAACCGGGACGAAACAGCTGCCTGATACTCCCAGCTATTTTTCAATGCTTCTCTAACTGATATCAATCCATGTCTAACTTGAAATATATTATGATTGCTAAGCAGTACCGTATATTTTCCAGCAAATAAGTTTCATCTTACTATCGTCGAGATATTTTTGTACTGTTGTGGGAAGAGCAGGCTGCTAGCCAAAATTGGTAGACAGCAATTTACGTCAATGTTCATGTCCCGAATGTTGGTGGTGAGAAAATATGAACAAAGACTGATTCAAAATAATAGAAAAGATTTGTAACTCAGGTGGATGATTTGCAATTAATAGTGTTCTCTTAGCTGGTTGGTTTAGTTGCGGAACTTTCGTCGTCTTTCTGGATGACGATAGAAAACGGTCAATACATATCTGAAGATGGTTACCGGGAGACACAATCATATCACTCATGAAGAAATTTAAATTATTTCACTTTATCCTAAATACTGCGCTGAAGATGTCGTCCAGAAAGACGACGAAAGCTCCGCATCTAAACCAACCAGCTCAGAGAACACTATTAATTGCAAAAGACTGACTCAACAACCAGCCACAGCACACTTTGCGTAGGCGAATACAGTTAACATATAGATGATCTGACATTCAAGAAACAGCCACAAAGAGATGCAAGGTTAACTTTCTGTAAGAAACAACCAACCAGAAGACTGTTTTTCTGCTAACAATAATCTATAATATGTACATGAAAATATATAAATACGTGTTGATTTCCTTAATAAACGATCTGTTGCCTCACCCTTGTCTTCTGTTGTTACATTTGGTGTCGCTGACTACCAACAGACAAATAGAAAGACTATGCCCTGCAGTTTTTGATGGAGACATATGGATCTTCGGCCAGGACTTCGAGGCTTCTGCGCAGCTTCTGTCAGCGATGAGACTGCTACTTGGGACGCTGGCGGGAGATCGGGCGAAAGAAGCATATGAAAGTGTGAGGCGAAATACCAATGAATGTGCGACACGGTCAGGCAAAGTTTTCAAAGTGGGAAGGACCACATACGGTCACTACTTACTCTTTTCCAACTTGCATCTATATCAGCTATTAATGCCCGTCGGGGGAGGCGATGGTTAAAATCCCTAGCGCCCCCGGGCGGGCTCGAACCACCAACCTCTCGGTTAACAGCCGAACGCGCTAAACCGTTGCGCCACGGAGTCACGCACGACCTCTATACAGGAGGATGCAAAGATCGGTTTCCTGCATTCGCCAGCATAACACATCAATCTCGGTTGTTCCGGAGATATGCCATCGATGTAGCCCGTAATTATATTACTGAATACTGAGAAGTGCGATGATTTTATGGGTACTCTCTCTGCACCTTCATAACACTATCAAGGCGATTATTAATGGGAAACAATAAAAAGATACAAAATTACAACAACAACAACAAAAACTGAAGCGTTTTATCTTACATTCGTAGATTTTCCCATATGACTGATAAACGCGAATAATTCATACAGGGGACTACCACCATCTGTAAGTGGTAGTTGATCTGAACTGCCGCTAGCACCACCGCTGCTGTTGTTGCTCGTGTTGGCGTTTGTCGTGGTTGTACCTTGTTGATAAGATGATTTTTGCATTGAAGCTTGATGTAATAGGCTTTCCAACTCATCTGGATTACTTAATGCCCAATCAGCAGCTTGTTCTAAATTACTATTTGTATATTGAAGAGCAACAACTGCCTGTGAAATCAATAAAAATACATCAAAAAGAGTTAGTCGACTTTAACAAATTAACACTGATTAAAAATCCCCATTAAAATTTTACTTAAAAGATTGGTTACTAACCGAGAAACAAAGGATCAGATCTCAGTGGCTGATCAATGGTCTACGAGCTAGCTCGCCTTGTAACCAGAAGATCCTGGGTTCGAACCCCGTACTGGGTGCAAACTGATGAAGAGTAGCACACTAGGGTGAAACGATTGTCCAGTACACCCTGACTGCTTTTCCAATGGTTCTCTAACCAATATCAGCTAATGATGAAATCCTTTAAAGAATACTCTTTTCAATAATGCCTTCTCCATCAGGTTCTACAGTTACATAAACATTATAGTGAATGAATGAATGAATAAATTAGTGTTATGAACAACATTAATGTTGTTGTTTAAATAACATCGAATCAATAATAATACTATCAATGGATTACAGTTCAACAGCATCAACATAACAATACACTGAATATCAGAAAAATTAGGAAAGATAATATTACAAATTCATGAATTTATAGTCTCCATTGAGGGCCAATCAGGGCAGTAGTAGTGGTGGCTAGCTGAACTTGCTTCTTCTGCACACAAAGCACTGGTTGTTTCATGCGAATCACGATAGCTTCTGCTGTTTGGAGCATGCAGTACTTCGATGTTTTCGGCAATTTACTTGGTAGCCAGTAGATGATGATAGAGAAGCATTCTTCAATGCTAACTAGCTTTATGGCCGGTGGCTTTGGACCAGATGGTCTAATATCGAACTATTGATGGTTTTTAGTACAACTCTACTCAGCCATATTGGGAGATGTTCTCGAGTGAGCACGAAAAATCAAGTTCCTAGAGCAACAGCCGATATAACTCGCTCTACCGCAAGCTCAGTTCAATTGGTAGACACAGCTGGAAATGGCTAGTCTAGTCTAGTTACTTCATCTTTCAATCGAGGAATCACCACCATCGGTCGTGTAGAGAATAAGACGTGTAGTTCGCCAGAGCATTAAAAGTTCTTTGAACTGATTTTCTTAATTTCCTCGTAATTATCTCACTTGGTATATCACCCTTGAATTGCAATATCTAATCGTCTGACTTCCAACAGAATTGATCCCACACAGGCAGTAATATGAGAAGTGATTATAATAAATAAAGAGAAGGAACTTCGGAGTAAATCTATAATAGCACTTTTAAAGACTCAAGGATGTAATTTGTTTCAATTAGCGAACTACTAACAACCAGTTGCGTCGGTGGTATAGCGGTTAGGATGCTCGCCGACCATGCACATGGTCCGGGGTTCTATTCCCGGCCGCCAACGCACTCCTTTACCTCGCTAAACCAGTAATAATGCTGGTAGAGAGGAAAGGTTGGGCATGAGGCTAGCAGCAACCCCATCCTGTAGAAATAAACACTGCTACAGAAACTTCAAGCTTCTAGCTTGAAGCTCTATGTTCCACTGGGAATGTGAAGGAATGAAAAAAAAAACCAACCAGGGAATGCAGTCGTAGACGTTATATCCAACCGGTTGGCTATCGATCAAAGGGCCTGTGCAATGAACAACAGCGATTCGTCCTATCCCCCTTTATCCCTGTTAGTGAGACATAGCCGCCATTGAAAGTGGAAGACATGAAAAGGCTGACCAGCCTTCTTTCATCATAGGTGTCGCCGTTCTATCTCCCTTGTATGCTAAGTGGCACGATAGGGTGAGTAATATTGAGATTAAGCATCGAGTTTTATTGAGGTGAGAAGGGGAAATCAATAGACGAGGTTGTGAAGCAGCTGCATAGATTGAGATGGTTAAGACGTGTGTTACGCATACATTCCTAACAATCGATTGCCTTCCTTGACAATGGCCAGTGTTTGCTGACTGACACAGGATGCATCAGGTTGGAAAATAGCTAGCTAGTGGTGATCAAACCAAAACATGTCTTCATTAGTCAATGAAATCCATAAAAGCTAGCCAGTCAGTCACGTAGGGAGGTTTAGGCTGGTGTGGCTGGTTGGGATCATCGGAGTGGTAAGCACCAGGAATGGCTGGAAACAATTGGTGATATGGCCAACTCAAAATTCTCGTTCTCAATGACTCGTGGGGATGCATTCCCTCTTTGTGATTGGTCAGTCAAATCCAATAAAACTCTACTGTTTTTCCATATTACAATTACTTATCCCTCACTCACACTTCTGTTTTTAATCTGTCTTTTGTAACTATTTTTACTCTCTTCTCTTGGTTTGTGTGCTACATGGAGGGAGTGTAGCAACTCTGGAACTGCTGCATATCTGTGCAAAGTTCTATGCTAGAACCAGTCCGTTAGGGTGTATTAGACAGCTATTTCGCTCTTCCTTGTTACTCTTAGGAAGTATACTTCCATGATCCTACGTATTAGGGAATCGAACCACAAGGCTTTTAGGTTACGAGGTGAATCCCTTTGACTATTGCACCACCGCAACAGAATCCAACGCTCCATCAACACTAAATTCTATCAATTCGCGATTTTAGCGTGACCACCCCCAGATAGCTAGCTAGCTAATATCATAGGTGAATATTTGTCCTTATACACACGACCTGGTGGATCTCACTGGTCACACTAGAACAACTCCAGACAACTTTGTCCTGTAATCAATCACAAGCAACTATAAGTTCGTGAATTGACAGGAGTTAGAATACATAGGTATTCAGCAGTTGAAGAGTATTTTTACCAAAATTTGATGAATTCATTAAATACTGCTTTATTAACGTGGATACGGAAGATCAAATAGAGTGAATGCCTCTACACCTCTCTGAGAACGATTCTAAGACATCACCAATTGACTACAGTCGTTGGTTCCTAACGTCCCAAGAATCCCAGCTATACAGTCTACGCCTTTATGAGTGACTTAAAAACTGCCTTGTTTCCAGTCGATTACCACTAGTAGTTCTCTTCCAATCTAATCTATCCTATTTCAATCAGCTAACATTGCTAAGTTGACAAAGGAAATGGACGACTTGGCATTGTACAACACGTGTCTTAGCCAATTACCTAACACTTACTCGACGCTTAACCTCAACACTACTCACCATATTACATTACTTACACCAAAAGATGCACAGTAAACATCTGTACTCAAAGACAGTTAGTTAGCCAGCCGCTTCTATATCTTCCACTTTGAATAGCCATTTCTCACAGATATAGTGAAGGAAGAAAACGAACTCCTGCGCAATATTTACGTCCTTTGATCGACAATCAGATATATCAGGCACTTTTGTGCAGTAATGTTCCACGTCGAACATTCAATTTTCAGTATACGATATGATCAGAAGTTAAATAGTGGATAACGTGCATTTCATCCTATTTGGTACTCGTCAGTTACTGGATGTACCTGCATTCCCCAGTGAGTGATGCTGTTCCCACCGAGGCTTGAACCTTGTGCCCATAGTTTCAAACGCTAAAGCGTTATCCACTGGACCACTTGGGCCACGAGAGCCACCTCTTGTACAACAGATCATATTAATTATTTAATTCAGTTTCAACCTGAAACCGAGCACTTCAGTTCAATCAATCGACGGGAAAATCTAAAATTAAATTAAATAATTAATACGACCAGTTTCACAAGAGTCAGTGGCTCTCGTAGCCCAATTGGTCTAGTGGATAACACTTTGGCGTTTAAAACTATGGTCACTGACTGGGTTCGAGCCCCAGTGGGAACATCATCACTCACTCACGGGGAATGCAGGTACATCTGCTAGTTGACGAGTCCCGAATAGGACGAAATGCGCGTTATCCTGGATTTCACTGCCGCTAGTTACCATCCACCAAATAACTTCTAATTGCATGCCCTGACATCGTCGAAGGATCTACACAAGAAGCCGACAGACATGTCAACCTGAGACTGAGGCACTTCGGTTCAATCAATCGACAGGAAAGTCTAAACTTGAATTCTACGATGTGATTGATTGTACTCAAATAATGAGAGAAAAAAATCGCTATTGACTGATACAATTTATAATTTTTATCTTGTTCAATATGTAGGCGAGAAATGTGAGATCATTTACCTACCTACACACACACACACACACACACACACAGAGAGAAACAAATTTGGTTTCTAAACTAAGTAACACAAAAAAATAATAATAACTGAGTGAAACGAGTCACCTGATTTCAACATTCTATACATCGCGTTGAGAACATGTGAAAAAAACAAGAAGCAGTTATGGTGTGTCAATTTACGCACAAACACAAATGCACGCACACACACACTGATACACCTACACACACCCACACACTAAAAGACAACATATTGAAGGGTATTGTATATTCACAACAAGAGTTAATTATATACATTCAATTCAGTAATATGGAATTGACTGAACTTTTCAATTGTCAATATGAAATTAAGGCCAACCAATGTAAATGATTAAGGCAAGTTAAACTTTAGACATCCAACAGGCACGAAAGTATCAAATGCGTTGAGATAAGAACCATGTTTTATATGCTAGGAACAGTTTAGAGTTAGGTTAACTAACCTATTTCAGTAGTCCATCTGAATGGCTGTGAGTGAAACATGGTCATTGAGAGTGGAAGACATGAAAAGGCTGGCCAGTAGGCTTTGATGATAGGTGCCTCAGCTCTATCTCCCGTGTCAGGTGGTGGTATAATAAGTTGAGTAATATTGAGGTTAGGCTTCGGTCGAGTGGCTAGGTGAATTGGAGGGTAAATCAATCGAAGAGGCTGTGAAATTACATCGACTGAGATGGATAGGCCATGTGTTACGGATGCCTGGTCATCGCCATCCTCGACGGGAAATGTTAGCTGATATAGGGTCAGGCTGGAAAACAGCTAGCCAGCGACGGTCAAACCAAAATATTGCTTCATCAATCAGTGAAATCTACAACAGTTAGTTTAAGCCAAGAAGGAAGGTGTAGACTTCCTGACTGGCTGATTGGGGTCCTCGGGACGGTAAACACCAATGAAGGCTGGAGACAATTGGTGATATCGTTTAAAATCGTTCTCA